ATCATTATCACTGAATATTTCTGTTACTAAAAAGTTCTTTGATCAATTTCAAGAAATGTACATAATTTGCATTTATTTGAAGCTAAAGACTATTGAAATGATTGAGATTGTGTAAGGGAGAACCATTTTGATAAATCCAACATAATTCACAAGACAAGGGAGATGAAGTTGGCGGGGGACACTAAATAAAAATATTGAAGTCAAAACTTTCTCCTTATAATTATTTCTCTTTCTTTGGATAATTGAGTGTTGTAGGAACCATATATAATCCTTGGTCTTTTAGAAGAACCCTGACACATATCTTCGTGGCTAATTTTTCTAGTAGTAGAAGGGTTTATAGATAACAATGAAACTTAAGGGAAGATAAAGAATGCAATGATTTTCATGTCATCATTGATAACAATAAGGACCACAAAAAAAATAAATAAATGAAACAAGGACCACAAAAGGGATAATAATTGTTGGTGAAGGATGGCCACTAATAAAAAATTCTTCATGGAACAGCACCACCAATAATAGCTGATAATTAATTATAATACCACTAATAATCATACCTGTACATGTATATAAGCCTTTACAATATGAACAAAATATATATATATATATATATATATATATATATATATATATATATATATATTCCTTTCATATTTTAAATTGATTGAGATGTCCAAATATTACATACAATTGGTTCTTTGTTACCTGCTTCCAAACTCTAATTTTTTCGTTTTTAATGTCGTTTCACATGGAATAACCTACATTTTACTTTAGAAAGTCTAGACTTTCACCATATATTTCTCGTGATGGGATCATTACATAAATTATTTTTTCATTATAATTTATAGAAAGAAAGATAAAAAAAAGCGTGAAAATAACATTATAAAAATATTTCATGATTAATTTTTACGTAACACTATCATGATTTTATAAAAACATTATAAAACTGAAAATCTGGGAGGGTTACAAAGTAGATTCTATCTCTAGCTATTGTAAAAAATAAATAAAGTGTTGCCTTGGGAATAAAATTTTCCTCCTCTCTAGTTTACTCTTGGGAGTTGGGATAACAAGCACGTGGAGACACGTGGCACATTTATGGTGCCGATGGATTGTTAGTGGATCTGGAAACAGACAACATCATCACTGAAATTATGTTTATGATTTACATGCATAACATGTATGAAGGTGCTGTTAATCTAAAGGTATTGTCGTAACATGTGAGTTTTCAAGTTACGATCTTTAGTTTATTTTTTGACTCGTTTTATGTTGAATATTTGTAAATCCTTTAAACTTAACTCCTGGCTATAGTTCAAATTGAAAATTAAATTTTATATTAAACAACTTTGCAACTAGAATTAAAATATCAACCATCAATATCTCAAAGAGACGCTCTTAATATAAGAAATATGAAACCCTAATTTATAATAATAGGAATTGCTCATTAGTGTGACTAGAATATTAACACTAATTAGTCATCTTTGAATACTCTAATTGTTAGCATTTTCAAATCATGATTTAAAGAAAACTGGTGATGTTCAAACAATCTTTAAACTTTTTTTTTAATTACCTTTAGTTACTAAACATTTCACACAAACTCATTTTTGTGCATAGTAATTATTATACACTATGTGTATTGAACTCACACTGTTAATTATATTTGACTAAATAAGTTACCTTCTTTACAATTTTTTCAGTGGTTGAATTGAATGAGATGATGTTTCAAAGTTTCTCATAACTACACAAAAAAAGTCTCATTTATTAGCAATCTATTTTATTATAAGTAATAATTTTTTAATCAAATTATTGATATAATAAATAAAATTATTATGTCATCATTTATTATATGAAAATATTTATATATCTCATAAAAACCAAAAATCTCATTAATATATATATATATATATATATATATATATATATATATATATATATATATATATATATAATCTCTTTTGTCTATAACAAGCATGTTCCTAAATACATTCAACTCTCCGGAATAGAGTATTAGGCTAGTTAGAATTTCAAAATTATTGCAATATAAGTATAAGTTGACCTCAAGATTTAATCCTTATACTAAAAAAAATTACAAACTAAATAACTTGTACCAAATACTGAACCACTTACTTTATTTTATTATTCAAGATTTAAAAGTAAATAACGAACGTCCCTTAAATAACTGCTCTTAATTTATATATTTCTTAGTCAGAGCAGGTGAGGAAAACAAAACAAAAATAATCATACACGTACCTATGCATTATTATCTGTTTAATTAATAGTCATGAAATAAAAGAATTAAATCACACATAAGTAAGTTATCCATTAAAAAACCTAATTGAAAAAGTAATTCCAAGAATAAGATGAATCAGTGGTGTTGAAATGAATTAAGAAAAAAACAAAAACAAAAGAAACAAGGTTTTCCATTCCATGATTTGTAAAAGGATTGATTTTTAGTTCGTCGGCGCTCTCTGCGGCACCTCCCTTATCTCTACCAGTTTTTTTTATTAGGCAAACGTCCTTTTCATCTCAACTATAAATAATTCACTTTATCTTTCTCCTTTTCTTTCCACCGTTCATAACTCTCCACACCAATCAAATATCTCTCTAATAGTCTGTTATTCGGTTGGAATACTTCACTCTCACCTCCTTCAATTCTTTCTTATTCATTCAATCATATTAAATACATTTCCTCCTTTTATGTCTCTCAAAAGGATCTTCTTTTTTGGATTAATTAAAACACAATCATAAAGCAAGGTAAACATTTCTTCTTTATTTTATTTTTTTTTTATTTATTTACAGAACCATAAACTTGCTTAAAGCAGTAGTATCTTTTAAGTACTGTACCACATATGGAAGAAAACCAACAACGATACAACATGATTGATGCTCATCATCTAATTTATACAGTATGGAAAGTAAACATTATTATCAGGAGTGGCCTCAGATGGGAAAGGATCACTGCACAACATCATCAACTTACAAAAATATGCCATGCAAGACAAATTTTTTCTCTTTTAAGAAAAAAGTGAACATACTTCAACAAATTTCATGCATATATGTATATGTATATGACTCAACTTTCTTCCTCCTAGACAGTAATTTTGTGGGGCAACTAATGTTAATTGACCATATTAACCATTTACGTGGGGTTTTAGCCTGATTTACCACGAATTCAACTCAGAGTTGGATTTCATTTTTTTCATTCTTAGATTAAAAATAATCTGATTTACTTAATCTATTAATTAAATGAATTTGAATTAAATTAAGATACTTTTATACATCATCTATTATTCATTTTAAATTTTAAAAATAATTATAATAATTTAATAATTCTAATTAATATTATTATATTTTTTCGTCTTTTATTTTATGTAATTATCAGAAATAATCAAATTTATCATTAATTATTTATTATATCATAATATTTATTACATTTAGTGTGGTAGCATCGTATCATTATATTTTAATTCTACGATTTAATCGCATTTATTAAAAAAATTTAAATATATATTAATAAACAAATAACTCACAAAATTACAATTAATTAAATCGGCTCATGAAATTTCTGATAGATTAAGCTCATCTATTTTGAGGATAGCCCATGACCAATAGTGTGAGCGCTCACATTTACATCTGTTCTTGGCTCTTATCATCACCCACGTGTGTTCCTTCCCTACTGCCAACAACAAAATTTAACACTCCCACCCAATTATTCAGCCACTACTATTCACAAATATTTTAAAATTGAATTATTAAAAGTATTATGAGCTAACTGTTGCTAACTAATTTCTTAGATCATGATTTGAATATTACCCATGTGTCTTATCTTTACACATTTTCTTTTTACTAGGATATCTTTGTTCATACATGTGTTTTTTTATTTGTTTTTTTTTTATCGAAATAAATTATAAAGTTATCTGATTTAAGATTTAGGGTTGAGAATGAAATAAAATAAAGTTGAAGTTATTAACATTTTACATTTGTACTATCAGAGTGATAATATATATGAAAAATGTGGGGAAAAAAAGACAATGAATGGAGATAAGAGAAATAGACAAGACATAATTAAAATATTGTCCTAGAATGCAATGCCATGTCACAGCAGAGCACTCCCTTTCAACATGGGTCTGATGATCTGATATATGAATTTATGGTGCAGGTTACTGATAGGATATGGTGTATGTGGATGCTACACAAAATGGACGCACCACAAAATAAATGCAGATACTAAAATATGGAACTCACTAATTTTATTTTCTTTGAAAAATATCTAAGAAATACTATGATACCGTTCGGTGGGTTTAGAGTTCAACAGTTAAGATTAGAATAGTTTATATATATTTTTCTGTTTCAATCCATTAAAAAGATCTTTTACAGAACTTCAACAAACAATGAAAAATCGTCCAATTCTATTCTTAAGAAGATACTGCTGCTACTTGCATATCAAGGGAAGGGTAGTTTTGTAAATTTGGAAATTGGACTATTCCGAATTCCAACTGAAGGAAAGCTGAAATGTAAAAATGTGGTTGAGTGAGTGAGAATCGCAATATCAATAGCAACAGAGCATGCAGCTGATTTTATTTATTTAATATTTTATGTATTTATTGAATTTTATCTAAAAAACAACGCAAACTTTCTTTCTCTCTCTCTCTCACTCTTTCTCTACACAACTTGGAAGCTTTCTCTCTCTAAAAGCAGGGTCCTCCACCACCACCACCACCTCCAATCTCCTCTTTTACACGCACAAAGAGACTGTGTGTGAGACTAATTTTTCTGTTAATGGATTCATTTTCTTTCCTGCAATTACAAGCATCTATTTTTGGTATTTCTCGTTCCTTTTCCTCTCAATATTTTTCGTCCTTTTTTTTTCCTTTAATTTATCATTTTTTGGTTTGTAAACGGCGACTCATGATGCGGGTTGGATTTTGAGTTGTGTAGGTTCGATCAAGTTTTGGGCTTTTGGCGGTAATGTGGTGGGTTGAGTGATTCCTTCTTGTTGCATATCTATGGCTACGGATTCGTCTTTTGAGGGTGAATTGCTTATTTGTCTCTCTGTTTCTTTTAATTTCACGTATAGTGCTCACCTTTTTGTTCTGTTGAAACTGGGGTGATTGAATTCTATCAAGGATTCGTTATCTGCGCTATGTTCAGGCTTATGAGATTTAACTTTCCGCATAATTTGACGATCCACGTCTAAAGATTAATCTGTATGGTGGTATTTTAGCATTGTGGCTTATCTTATTTTTCTGAGGTTTGATTTAATTTCTCGTGATCTCTTCCTGTGTGCCTTTCCTGAATATTGGGTGGTGATTAGCTTTTGATTTTATTTTATTTTTTTAGTTCTTTCATGGTAGAGGTGTTTATGCTTGTTTTTGTTTCTATATTTGGCTTAAGTTTTGGTTTTATTTTTTATTTTTATTTTCTTTTGTGACCGTGCATTTGGAGGGTTTGTAAGCTTGTAATTTGGTATACGATGCGCCAGCTAATAAATTAGCGGGTCTATGGGTTCTATATTTGGAGTATGGAGTCTCCTATAAAGGTCAAAGAAGATTATGTCCAACTGCTTAATTGTCTTACTTGACTAGTCCGTTGCACGAGGTCTCCTATATTTCTATTTCTTACTGTGTTTCGAGTGGTTGGTATGTCCTTGTGATGCAAAGTCAACTGGTTCCGGTTGTATACTTTTTGCTGTGTTACTTGTTTTGGCCTTCTTGCTAATATTTTTGAAGTAGTCAATGTTTTGGAATGATAATTTACTGTACTGATTTATTACGTACCTAGAATGATAATTGAAATAATAATTCAAGTATTTCTGTTGTAGTCTCAAGAATTTTGAAAAAATAAATTATGATGACATGTCTAGCATGACTACAAGTTATGGCTGGAGTCTTTGTGGAACTAGTCTTGTCTCCTTCACTGCTTGGAAGTTTTAAAGTTGGAATACTTTCATGTATGTATTGTGCTGATGTATGTTTTCTTTATCCTTAATCTCAGGTCTTGCTCTTGATCCTTCCAAGTGCAGTAAATTGAGTATGGAGGAAAAAAGAGAACTGGTATATGAAGTATCTAAGTGGTCTCATGGTGCATCTGAGATGCTGCAGTCATGGAGCCGTCAAGAGATTTTGCAAATATTGTGTGCAGAGATGGGAAAAGAGAGAAAGTATACTGGGCTGACAAAGTTGAAAATTATAGAAAATCTTCTAAAAATTGTTTCTGAAAAGAAATCAGGGGGGCACGAAACTGCAACAGACCCTGAATCACATTCTTCTCCTGCATCTGGTCAGAAACCTGCTAAAAGGCAGAGAAAATCTGAGAATCCTTCTCACTTACCTGTTCCTACGACCAGCATTCCAGGCAATAATGGTAATGATTCTGTTAATACTACATACTGCAAAAACTCAGCTTGTAAAGCTACCCTGAATCAAGCAGATGCATTTTGTAAAAGATGTTCATGCTGCATTTGTCGTCTATATGATGACAACAAAGACCCTAGCCTGTGGTTAATATGTAGTTCTGAGAATCCATTTCCTGGTGTTTCTTGTGGCTTGTCATGTCACCTTGAGTGTGCTTTAAAACATAATGGTTCTGGAATTGGCAAAGATGGGGAGCGTCCCAAGCTTGATGGAGGCTTCTACTGTGTTGCTTGTGGGAAAGTAAATGATTTACTCGGGTAATCATGCTTGTGCTCTTCAGTTTCTTAGATGACATATTTATCATTTATTGATTTAAAAATTTCTGTTTCTTTTTTCCCTCTCTATCTTGGAGTGTTTTACTACACATGCAATAGGATATTGTATTTAGTCATTTGCTGTTTTCAAAATGCATCAAAAGACTTTCAAAATAGACCAGAATGGGGTCACCTGAGTCATCTTACTATATCCTTCATAAAGCTCTAGGTTGTGTGTAATATCAAATTGAATCATGGCTTTATTTAGTGCATAATTTGCTTTAAACATTCAAGGACTGATTTTTCAAGATGAATCTTAGGCATGATCAGTTTTGTGAAAGAGAGAGATTGATTATTTGTTGAATGTTATTTTTTATTGCTTAGTTATGGTAGGACACTCTACTCAACATTATGGCAAAGACATCAAAATATGGTAAAATTGTTCTTTTACTATGTGGTGTATGTGCCAAATTCCTTTTAGGATGAGAATTTGGTAATGTGTAAGGTTAGATCAATCTCATCTTGGCTTGTTTATCAAAATTTATTAGATGCTGGAGAAAACAACTGATGGTAGCAAAGGATACTAGACGTGTAGATATACTCTGTTATCGAGTCTCCTTAAGCCAGAGACTTTTACAAGGAACTGAAAAGTATGACGAACTCTATAAAATTGTTGATGAAGCAGTGAAGAAACTTGAACCTGAAGTGGGTCCACTCACTGGCTCACCGGTGAAGATTGGTAGGGGAATTGTAAACAGGCTTTCTTCGGGGCCTGAGGTTCAGAAACAATGTGGTTTTGCTCTTGAATCACTTGATTCACTGCTTTTGAAGAGGATCTTGCCGTCATCACCTAATCCAACAACTCAAGGTACTCTTTGTTGTTATTTTTTTCTCAATTTCCCTTGTGTATCTACATCATTCGCAATTTCCCTTGTGATTTGTTTTATATATTGAAATAACTACTTCATTACTTCCATTTATTTTGTCTTAATATTTAGCTCATGTTTGGGTAATTGGTAAAAATATTTAAATACTTGAGTGTAAAGAAGAAATAATTTTATAAGAATGAGATTTATGTTTGGGAATTAATTTTGGATAATTGGTGGGGATACCAAACTTACTTTTGGCAAGATGTAATAATGTTAATTGACTACTTTTGTGACCCAAAACTATTTCTGGGATCAGCAGCCAAACATTAGACATGTCTGACATCAAAGGTTATTGTTTTGTTTATGAAGAACTTCTATTGGATTTTGTTTCAAAGCACAAAACTATGGTATTTCATGCAAATGTTGTACAGTTGTGGGTGGATTAATTTTTTTGTCAGTGGGTTTAGATTCTCGAATAATGTAGTGAGATTGATCTGTGTGTACATCACATTTTCAGATACACGTTTGCTGGCTCTAAATATGATGAGGTTTGAAGACGTCACTGCCACATCCCTCACTATTATTTTGGGTTCAGAAGAACCCTCTGGTGAAAATATCGCTGCTTACACCTTGTGGTATCGCAAAGCTGATGATGTGGACTATCCCATGGACCCGACTTGCAGCTCCCTCCTACTAAATAGAAGGTTCAGTGTCAGGGATCTACTTCCAGGTACAGAATACAGTTTCAAAGTTGTTGCAAATGATTCGAAGGAGTCAGGTGTATGTGAAGCTCAAATCTCAACAGAGCTTGGCGAGGATGAAGTCCCTAATTGCTCTGCAACAGAAAGAAGTCAGAGCCCAGTAACCAACTGTAGCAGCCTTTCCAATCCGTCATCAGTGGAAGATGAAACTAATAACTGTAATCCATATAGTGACCTGACTGATAACCGAGCAGATCATTATCCTTCTTATCACAAGGAAAGCGACCAGCTTGTTTCTGGAAATTTATCTAACGATGCTATTAACTGTTCCAACATAGATGTTGTGGGTATTCCTCCTGATGCAGACTCTTTGTCAGACAAGCAGCATGCGGTAGGAATGACTGCCTCCATACCTAGTTCTGATGTGCTAAAGCTCGAAGACAAGCATTCGCCAGAGGAACAAGTCACTGAGGACATGAGCACTGATGATGGGTTGAATTCCCCAGTTTTAACGGGTAGGGAATGTGTGCCGTTAGTAGGTACCTCGGAAGGAGGCTTGCCTAATACTCCCTGCAAGTTGGAAACACTTAAGGATGGTCCAGGAAGGATTGGAAGATCCAAGTCCAGTGGCAAAGATCAAGAAAATGGATCCGGGAAAAGGGAGGGCCCCCAGGATGGCAGCACATCCAAGAAGAGAACTGGAGAAAGGCAAGAAGAGGGCCGTGCCGCAAATGGCTTTTCGGAGCGGGATTTTGAGTATTATGTGAAGGTGATTAGGTGGTTAGAGTGTGAAGGGCACATAGAGAAGAACTTCAGGCAGAAATTTCTGACATGGTACAGCTTAAGAGCCACCCTTCAAGAAGTAAGAATTGTGAAAATATACATTGATACATTTCTTGAAGATCCAGCATCTCTTGCAGAGCAACTTGTTGACACCTTCTCAGAATGTATATCCAGCAAGAGAACATCAGTGGTGCCAGCGGGGTTCTGCATGAAGCTTTGGCATTGACCAGTTTTGTAGGTCCTCCTACTAGCCCCAAGCTTGAAGCCCCTCCTGGCTTGTCACCCAGTAATTCTTTAGATTTTTAATTAATATTCTTCATTTAGAAAGTTCAAATACATATATTTATAAATTATAATTTATTTCAATTATCATTCATGTGATGATTTAAGAATTTTAGATTTAATTTTATTATACAGTTACTATTTAAAATTGATAGTTTTTTTTTTTTTTATTTGCAACTCGGTTTTCGTTTCGCTTTTCGATAGATAGCGGTGAAGGATTTATGCTAAATTAATCTATGCATAGGTTTAGTCTTTTCCGTTGACGCAAGGCTCTGAATTAGTTAAATAGTTTTTCGACTCGTGGATGGAAGATCTATAGTTAGCGTGCAACTTTAATCTTCTACCAATTTGATTGAACATTTTGGTGTTAGTGAGCAATAGTCAACAATAATTACAGCTAATAATTGGTGGAGTAAATGTTAATGAATTTGTCCATAAATGCTGAATTCCGCAAGTAGATCTTCATTTTTACAAGTGCTATTCTGCTCAAAGCATGCGTTTCACTATCTTTGTTAAGAAATTAAAATTTATCAGATGTTGTGTGTCGTCAAGCATGCATGAAACGGTACGAGTCACCCATCGCGTGTCTAACGGAAGTTTCTGCAAGAATATCGATATCGCGGCTTGTTGGGCCAGCCTCGCCCGTGATTATTGCAGCAATGAATTGGTTAATGAAACACGGAATTTGATTTATCTGTTTTTTTGTTCCCGAGGCATCTTCCAACAAACAAACTCACTGAACTGAGTGTGTTGAAATTTTTTTACACATGAAGTCAAGAATTGAATCTTGATTGAGAGTGTTGAGCCTTGTAGGTTTTGGATTTATTTGGTGCAATCCCTAAAAGGAATAGTGTTTGTCACATCAAAATGGCATTTCTGTGTTTGAATGAGCGAGTTGATCTTTTCCTGCGAGTTTAAGAGTTGCACGAATGTTACCTAGCGAGTGTTTGCGTACACAAGAAAAAAATGGATTCGCCGCTACGGTGATGCAGATGATTTTAGATATGAACTTTTCAACCATAAAACTAAAATAACATGTTCTAAAACTTTTCTCATTCATATATTATTGATCTTGGATATTTCTGAACTTCAAACCAACACTTGAGCACTAAGAAGCTTTGTGCCTCATTAGTTGAAATTTATGCACAATTGTACGGATGCTAATTCTAGGACTGGTTGTGCTATGAAAGAACCAGACGAAAAGTTTTGACTCCAACAAAACTGCAGTGACTTTCTTTGCTGTCATACTTCTTGTCTATTGCATGAAGAGTGATAAAAAGGAAATAAGGGAACCAAGTAGGAGAAAATATTTAAATTTTAAATGAAAGTAACAAGATAATCGTTTGTTTTATAAGCAAATCAAAAAATAAAAGAAAATGATATTGTTGGTTGCATGGTTGGTTGATATTTTCACTAGAGATAGACAAATAAAAGAAAATGATATTGTTCATTAACGTTATGTCGTTGATATGAGAGTCTTTTCTGGCAGGGAAATGGGAAGTATTTTGATGGAGAGCCTCAATATAATGGAAGCTACATTTGGGCTAGACTTTCTTAGAACTTGATCAAAACGTCCACAATGTTGAACTAGTATGTATAAGAAAAGCTCGAGCATTCCAATATAACAAGGGTGCACTGGTTTATATAATTTATTTGACATATAATTCAGACTCCCGAAAAATGTTGATCAGTGTGCTGCAGTGTAAATTGATGAAGTCATTCTTAATTTTGGCAGTAGCTAGAGAAGGTTGTGATATCCAGCCAAACTTGAATAATGAGCACTAGAAAGGCCATATGAAAAAGTGGAGGAATCATTTGTTTATTCATTTCAACTTGGTGGTAGAGATTCCTCAGCACCAGAAATTGGCGGGCCCCAACCTTCACTCCATGTTTTAATAAAAGTGTGAAGGTAGAGAATTTTACCATTGAAGTGTGGTTTGAAGCCTAATTTAACTCTCCCTCCCCACCATCTACTGTACCACTTTACACATTATTTCAGGATCACCAAATCCTATTTTCTTCCTCCTTTTGTCTGACCACAACCCTCATTCAAGATCAAACACTGATTCTTAGTTGCATAACCTTTCTCATCTTTAATCAACCTTCCATTCAACAATTAACTTGTACCAAAAAAATGTCTGCTGGAACTTTTTCAACTCAGGTTTCTGGGGCTGGCTTTGTTGGCATGAAGTCCAACTCATCGACTCTTTGCCATAGTACACCATCCATAGGATGGAAAAGGAAGATTGTTTCCAATGGTTCCAAGACTTACTGCATGAAGGTGATGTGATCAAATGACTTGTCCATCTATATATGTTTATGATGTGTTTAAACTGACATGATGTAATATATATTGAGTTTAAACTTCCAATAACAGACGTGGAATCCCATCAACAATAAGAAGTTTGAAACACTGTCCTACCTGCCACCTCTTTCAGATGAATCCATTGCAAAGGAGATTGACTACATGATCAGGAAGGGATGGATTCCTTGCCTTGAATTTGATGAGGTAAGTTTCAGGTAAATTAGACTATAAAGTAGATTTATTTCTTTTCTTTTCCTTTGCAGAAAACAACCATGTATACTTAGACTTAGAATTACTTACATTGATTCGTCTAGAATACTTATAAAAAACTAGCAATTCTCATTCTATCAAAGATTTAATAAAACTTAGGGGTTTGACTTTCATCATAATTATTTTAAAAGTTATATCCAAAATAATTTCTTTCAGAGTCTACAAATCATTCAATTATAAACTCAAATTTTCTCGCAATTTCAATGGTTGATTTGAAAGACATAGTTAATGCATATGTAAGTGTATTGTTTACACTAAAGGGTTGGATGTAAGACTTCATCACTGTCATGAGCTTAGTTCTTCTGGTCTAGGCTAGCCTGATTCAGTGTTTTGAATCATGGATAAATGTATTGATGTTTGATGGTTGTATATGTTAGTAACATGGAACTATGTTGTTTGGAACATGGAAATAGTTGGGGTATGTACGTAGAGAAAACAGCCATATGGCAGGGTACTATGATGGAAGATATTGGACATTGTGGAAGCTACCGATGTTTGGTTGCAGTGACTCTTCCCAAGTTCTGAACGAGATCCATGAATGCAGAAGGACATATCCAAATGCATATATACGATGCTTAGCATTTGACAACCACCGTCACATGCAGTCCATGGCTTTTATCGTTCACAAACCTCCCACAGCTGCTACCACTTGAGCCATTCTGCTTTTACTTCTCTTCAAACTCTATTTTCTACATCTTCTTTCTCTTTCTATCCCTCACTCTCTCTTGATATGAACTTTAATGCTAACTCATCTGGATGGATCTGGCTAGTTGCGATTGTTTGAAATTTGAATAGACATGCAAAAATATGATTGAGTTTCCTTCGATTTTTCGTGGTGTATTTATTAAATTAAGAATAAACATACTTTTAATTATATCGATGATTATTTGACAATCTACAAAATAATACTATATACTATTATGTTTATTCTGATTTATCTCTACTTATTGTTTGGATTGTCAAACATTATTTTTACACTGCAGAAATTATTGTTGAATGTGAAATTTGAACTTGGAAACATAAGCCTCAACGAAATTATCTATCATTGTGGTGTATTTATTTATCAACATGGTAGTTTTTGAATGAATTTAAACGAGACTCTTAAATAAAATTTTGTGACAGAAAAAACATGATTTTGAATCCAATTAAAAACAAAAAAAAAATATATTTTGTACTAATATTATGGTAAAAAAAAAAATCTAAACATAAAATTCATTTAAAAGAATGTTTCCTCTTATCCAAATTCAAAAACATAAATGATTTGGCCTGCAAGGGGTCGATGAATGGATTTTTTTTTTCAAGAAGGATTGAGGCCTTTTTTTATTTTATAATGACTAATTTATCCTGATGTTATATTCTGATATTACATTATTCTTGAAATTACGGAAAACTCTAATAAAATATAATTTTTTAAATTTTATTTAATTTGTGAATATCTCTAATATAGAAACTTAAATGATAATAATGATTGTAATAACACTAACAATAATAAAATAGTTTGGTATTTAAAGTGAGAAAAAAAGCAAGAAAGATTTAAATGAAATTTAAAAGAATGCAACTTATTTAAATTTTTGTTCATTGTAGAAACTAATATAGCATAGAGTATGTGAGATTAAATTAGTTATTTATGGCATTTTTATTTGTATTACTGTTATTTTGGTTTTGGCAAAACCAGCCAATAGATTTGAGCATCCATCCCTTGATTTAAGGTGTGATCTCAAACAATAATATTATATTGGCTAAGCTCTAGAGTTAGTGGGTTAGAACTTAGAAGAAACCACGGATTTGGCCCCTAGTTTTGTAGGAAGTGAAGCACGGATGTGGGTGGTCCTTGATGAACACATGGAGGAGGCAAGTTGGCTATGATACAAACAAAATCACCATTAAAGTATAATTATATATATTAATATTGAAGTGTTTTTAGTGGCAACTACCAACTCTGGCTCACTACATAAGAGGCCAAGTTCACATGTATAAGAACTATACCTAAGGAATTATACTTTATTTTATCCTATAGAAGACATCATTTTGGTTCACTGCTGGGGGCCCCATGGTTTGTTAGCAGAAAGGCAGAAAACTTAGAAAATAAAAAACTGAAACCAATGCGATAGGACTCATTATAAGATTGATAGCGGAGAAGGATGTGTAGGTAACATCTTACACCTATGGCAATCCACATGCTCAACAATAAAAGGTTATATCATTCAAGGGTCTCTGTGACTCTCCTATGTCCTATGCTTCTTTTAAGGTCCAAAAGCTTTGCCCCACTTTACTTTCGCTGCATCCTCGGCTTTAATTCTGTCTGTTTCTTTTTTTTATTGTGCTTCAAATTTTAACAGAGCCAATTCCTGACAGTTAAATATCTGGTATGTTTTAGCAAAATTACTGTCGTTTCTCTTCTCTCCCATATTTAAAAATATAAAGGAATTGCCTTAACAAAACAAGATAGCTATACTTGTTCTCTCCTAATTATATTTGTATCCAAAACTAATTTTCTCATTCTATCACTGATTTTAATAGTATAAATGAAGTTTGTAGTTTCAAATAATGTTATCAGCTTAAAATTTTAATCTAAAATCTTTATTTTGTCTTACAATAAAATTTAAATCTAAAATCTTTATTTTATCCTACAAGGTCACAAATTTAATATGCTGAACAAATAATCAAAAAGTTCATCTAAATTAAATGGGCTCAACTGGAACATTTATCTTTCAAGATAGAGTATGAATATAATTTCATAACTAAATATATACTGTGCTATAAAAATAATTTACACTGTCATATAATTATGAATTGTGATATATTGAAAATAAGTGACTTTTTATAATAATTATTTTTAAAATTATGTTCAGAATAAATTTTAATTGATTGACTGTAAAAAATATATACTAACAATGTATAAAAAATAAACTCATAATTTAAACATGTATCAGTAGATGAAAATATAATTTAGACTTACCAAGTGGAAAAACATGTACACAATGCTTCGAAGCCTCAGTAGGGTCCCTATTGATCAAAATTGGACAGAAAAGAGGAAAGAGGGGGCATGAGACTAAAGGTGTTGTTAAACTGATCTGATTGGACGGCTTAGCTCCACAAATATTAGGCTGATCCCGTGTATTCAAATAGGTCATATTTTTTACACGGTCCGTCCTTGAAATATAATTTAAAATTTAGATCCAAATTAAAAAATAAAAATATAATATAACTTTTACCTTAAAACTTGATAAAACTAGCTTTAACTTTACATAAATAATTTGATATATAAATTGTAACGAACACATAATTTCTTAATAAAATAATAATTTTAAATTATTTTCATAAAACGAGCCCGTTTGAACTAAAATCATTTGTCACATGTTAAACGTAGAGACAAAAATTAATTCATTTTAACTTAGACCATTGTATTTGAGCCTGATCCATTTTCTAGATTCTTTCTAGAATCAAGCCCATTTTAACAACTCTATATGAGAGGTGTTTGGATTTTGATATTGCATGACGGAGTTAGAAGCCCGACCTTTTGTCATATCCCGATAGCTCTTCACTGAGGGCCATTCAGCAGGGGCAACAACAGCTTAGCTTTGGTCAGAGTTAATAAACACATCCCTTCGTCAGGATATCTAAGTCCAGATACCTCCATAATCAGCCTCGTGCATCTCGTGACTCATGGACTAAGGCGCATTAAATGTGTACCATACACAGATATAACAGTAAAACTAATAAGTTAGCACAGAGAGTTAACACGCCCGCACATCCATTGGTCATGCGTGGTTTTGAAATTCAGAATCACTTGATTACATACCTCGTGAAAATTTGGCAAATTTTATGAATATAACTGGACAATTAGATAGGTAGAAGATAAAACGGGCCTAACACCAACTACAAAGGGTATTGAGAATGAATGACACATAACTGGTGGAACGCTTACAAACTTCCAATTTGGGTACCAATAGTTTCTGGCTCCAATATTCCACACAATTGAACGACCACCAAAGGATATTACTCATCTACAATGAACAATGGCAATAGTCGATTAGGCAAAGGAAAATACTTAGTGAGAAATATATTTCATACCAACAAGTAAAAGAAGGAATCTGCGTTTTAATTTTTGAATGAAAATGAAAAAAAAAATGGCTGAATGATGGCTCGCCTGATTAGTTAATTGAATGCCCATGACAAGCAATTTTGTAAAAATCATTCCATGCAAAAATCACACCACTATATAGTAAAACAAGCAGCCACATAAACAGAATCTTCTGTAATTGTAAGACTTGTTACAGCAAAACGCACATACAACCAACACTAGTGTAAACAGGAAGAAAATATGAATGCAGGGAAATTATACTAACATAATATGTTTCAAAGTTTAGGAACACCAATTACACAAATGAAGAATTTAATAGAATTTTTAACAGGTATTAACATAACCACGAACACGTGTTAATGTAAAGAGGTGACCTTTCCAAAACAGGGATTTCTTAGAAGTGATAGTATATAACCATTAACCTTATTGCCAATAGTACTATTGAGATATGTTATTTGTGTATCTTTTAATATTCTTTTTCAATGTTCCTTAGACTAGGGTTAAGGGTTTGGGCTGAGACCCATATCTTCTCTATTGTACCCATTTTTCTATAAATACAATGTATCAGTACCTTTAGTCACTTAATCAAACTCTAAATAAGTTTTCTCAAGTTGGTTTCAGAGCGAGTAAGATCCCACACTGATTTCCAGTCGCCTTTGTCAGCTCCCGCCACTGTCTGTCGTCGTCACCGCCGGCCTCCGTCTCCATTTGGACTGGCGAAGAAGGAGTTTTGTTCGCCTCGAGGAGCGCAACCCACCCCTGCAAGTCACTCCTCCATCAGCTGCCCCACGAGCTATCACGCATGGTCATCCCAGTAAGCCCTCTAAGGCGTGTTTGTCTCATGCGCCGCCTTCTAGTAGCCGGAATCAAAGCCGACCACACCCGTTAGACTCGTCGGCATCATCTGAGTCCAGTGGTACCCTAAGTTTTCTGATTTGAGAACTGTGTGTGGAAAGTTCCGTGGGCAAACCTATTCATTGGCTTTATTCATCTTTTCTGGTTCATATGGTCTCATCCTCTGCCTTCACCTTCTCTGCTACTCCCACCATAACTAGTGTCAGGCTCAACTAGAAAAATTACTTATCATGTAATGTTTCAGTTAAGTTGTGGTTTCTCGGTCAAGGGCATCATGACCATTTGGAGAAAAATGTAGACTTTATTTCAGTTGTAGAAAGGTCTCAATGAGAGAAAATAGACTTCCAACTTTGTGCAATCTTATGGCAGTCTATGGAACCGGATGTTCTTAAGCTTCTCAGATCATTCAAAACCTGTTCTTTTTTGAAAAAGGCTCAAGACATTTTTGCTAATAATATTCAACGTCTTTTTTATGCAACTCAACGAGTGACGTCACTTAAGCAAACCAATCACGACATGATGGCTCACATTGCAAAAGCTAGGACTGCTGTGGAAGAATTTAAAAAAATTTCTTGTTGCAAATACCTTAGAGGAGTTAAACACCAAACTCGATAAGCTAAATATGGTTCTAATTTTGAGAAGTCTGCATTGTAACTTTGATCATGTGCGTGATCAAATCTTAGTTGGCGATCATGTTCCATCAATGGATAATCT